TAAACTCTCTAAAACAGGCAAATTGCTGATGCCATTCATGGTTACAACTTTTGCTGATGTTCTGTCAGTAAATAATGGCACTAAGCAAAGACGCAGACCCAAGATAGCCAACACAGGAGTTGTTAGGTAGCTTTAAAATAACTGCAAGATGAAACTTTACTCCCAGGTCCAAATCACTCTGGAGCACGTTATCCTCAAGGTTGTCTCTACACACTGCTGCATTCAAAGAAAGGTTAAAATATCAATACTACAGTCTAAATATCAGGAGAGCAAATCAATATGCTTTCAGATATGTGGCTACATGTTGGTCTCCCAGTTCCTTCCCATAGCATGATGGTGCCATCACTTTGCTTATTGGGGAGGTGATGAGCAGTGCCCGGTTTCCTCTAGCCATGATGCCTGGCATTCAGTCCAAAGAATACAATATTTGTTTCATCAGACCAGAGAATTTCTGGAAAGTTTTCTTCTCTCTACAGAGCAATACTGAAGCTCTGTCGGAGTGACCGCCAGGTTCTCCTCCCTAGCTAAGGTTGTTCTACCTGGATTGTTCAGCTTGGCCTGGAATTTTCTGTGTCAGAGCTCTACAGACAATTCTTTGCACATCATGGCTTTGTCTGTGCTCTGACATGCACTGTCAGCTATGGGATCATATCTAGACAGCTGTGTCTGTCGAACTCATGTCCAAAAACTCAGTTTACCACAGGGGGACACATGTGGTGAGTTTCATCCAGTCTCCCTCCCAATCCAGACCATCCATCCACGCATCCATCCGTTTATCCATCCGTCCATCCATCCATCCATCCATCCACGCATCCGTCCGTCCATCCATCCATCCATCCACGCATCCATCCATCCGTCCATCCATCCATCCATCCATCCGTCCATCCATCCGTCTATCCATCCGTCCATCCATCCATCCATCCATCCACGCATCCGTTCGTCCATCCATCCATCCATCCATTCACGCATCCGTCCATCCATCCATCCATCCACGCATCCATCCTTCCATCCATCCATCCATCCACGCATCCATCCACGCATCCATCCATCCGTCCATCCATCATCCATCCATCCATCCACGCATCCATCCATCCGTCCATCCATCCATCCACGCATCCATCCATCCATCCACGCATCCGTCCGTCCATCCATCCATCCATCCACGCATCCATCCATCCACGCATCCATCCATCCATCCATCCGTCCATCCATCCGTCTATCCATCCGTCCATCCATCCATCCATCCACGCATCCGTTCGTCCATCCATCCATCCATCCATCCATTCACGCATCCATCCATCCGTCCATCCATCCATCCATCCACGCATCCATCCTTCCATCCATCCATCCATCCATCCATCCACGCATCCATCCACGCATCCATCCATCCGTCCATCCATCATCCATCCATCCATCCATCCATCCATCCATCCATCCATCCATCCATCCATCCACACATCCATCCATCCATCCACGCATCCATCCGTCCGTCCATCCATCATCCATCCATCCATCCACGCATCCATCCGTCCATCCATCCATCCACGCATCCATCCATCCGTCCATCCATCCATCCACGCATCCATCCATCCATCCATCCATCCATCCACGCATACATCCATCCATCCATCCATCCATCCATTCATCCAAAGAGGCCAAAAAGTTCAGTCTTTGTTTCACTGAATCAATGAATGTTGTTTCTTATGGTCTGAGAGTCATTCAGGTCCATTTTGGCAAACTCCAACGCCTTGGTCAAAGAGTTCCTTGGTCAAGAGAACCCAATGGTGACTCTGACAGAGCTCCAGGGTTGCTTTGCACATGACCCTGACCGAGGCCCTTCTACCCCAGCTGCTCAGATATTTAGTTGACATTCTCTCTCTTTCTCCTTTAAGGTGAAACTACCATAGAAAATGACTTCTTATTGTAATTTCTAATAGCAATATCACATGTGTGTTTTGTCTTGTTTTAAAGAAAACATTTTTACACATTCTAAATTTGTTTACCTTTGCTAGTGTGGCATCGTGATGCAGCACTAATAAGGCCTTTAAAACCAAGCCTGTGATACTGAGCATTATTGACTTGTTACTCTTCTCTGGTCAGTCTTCATTTGCTGCGGTCTGCCTTACTTGTGGCTTGATGCACTTTTGTGCTAATGACTGTGTGCTGATATTGCAGTATTGACATTGTCAGGCACTAAACGTACTTCCCATGTAAGGTACATTTTAAATATATATATATATATATATATATATATATATATATATATATATATATATATATATATATGTGTGTGTGTGTGTATAGAACACGTTGTTTTAGGGTCTCGTGTGTTTACTAAGGTCAGAATGTATTTGATAGTAGATTTGTTATTTCTCCCCAGTCACTGTCTGCAGTAGTGATTATAATATAATCATTGTGTGCATAGATGTTTCCTCATAAAGCGAGTGACCTCTCTAAACATTAGTAACCACAGCAACAGATAGCCTGGTTAATTAATGATTGTATGACTCTGGGCTTTGTTCAGGCTTCACGGAAATGATGCCTCTCCTCAAACACAGCATCCCTCCATCCGAGCGAGAGTTACTTCAGTCAAATGACCAAATGTATTGGATGCTGACAGACTTTAAATGTCATGTCCTCCACAGCACAGACTACATGCACCTCCAAAAATGTACATTCAGAATTTATAAGCCCCCTTCTTTGAAGGTGTTACAGTGCTGTCAGTACTTGAAATTATGTTACTCACTGAGCATAGTTTCAACTAATTTAATACAGTCACATATAAAAAATCAGTCCAACAAGCAAACATCCAAGAACAAATCATGTCTTTCTTTATCGATGTCTAATGATCAGATGGTCGCTGGGATTTGGATTGTTGGGATATCTGAGGCTCTGTAAGTGTGCTTGGGACCAGTGCCACAAAGATCACTGACTCTTCTCTTGGTACACTTTGCAAAGGCACTTTCTAAAACTAATCAGAAGCCTACTGCACTTGATGTCCGGGAGGGGAGCTACGAAACATATCATGTTGACAACGCGAAACAGCCCGCCAATCATGCAGCAGCTACACATCCCAAATGGAATCAAGCTGTGTTTACCACCACACGTGACTGAGGTAAACTAGTCAGTCAGCCATCGTTTTACATCAGAACACATTAAAAATGTTTCCCGATGTGAATGTCTGCATGCTCTCAGTTAGAAGTCAGCTGCAGAGTGCTGCTCTGTCCATCATGCACAGACAACTGTGATATCGCCCACTGTCTGGTTGATTCTCTAGTTTGACGCCTACATGTGGGGGTTTTGTCTACTGCAAAGTTTTGTTTGTTTGTTGTTTGTTATTTGTTTTTGTAAGAGCCAGAACTGATCATCTTTGATTGATAAGAGTGGCATGCCAAGTTCAGCTAAGGCTAAATGTGTGAATTTGTGTTGGCCATTTTTCCACGGGAGTCTAAAGATGTTGACTTGCGTTGGTTTTTGATTATCAGGAGTTAATGTCAGTATATACTCACGAAATATAGATAATATTTTTAAAGATAACTAAAATTTGATATGTTAATTATGAGAAATGGATCGAACTCTGTGAGCGAGTTCAGCAAACCACTTTGTTTTCATTTTTTAAGCCTTTTTTGACCTGGAATTGACGATCTTGAGATTAACGATATCTTTTGTAAGACTTGGGCTGACATAGGCAGCATCAACCCTGGCATTTTTTCCAATGTGACCAGAATCTTGAGCTTCACCTTACCCAGGTTTAAGCCCAGGAATAACCTGCTGTGAGATAGCAGTGCTAACACTGTGTATTTTACTGTCGTCATGTCAGATACCAGACACAGTTTTCAGTTACCTGTAGTTTCCATTCTGTCCCTCTGACATGTCAGTGTTACTGTATCGCTGCCTGTAGTGCTCCCACTCCTCCGCCACCCCAGTGCCCAACTACAGACCTAAAGAGGATGTTTACTCCTGACTCCTTGGCTTCTATGTTTATATTTAAGGGAGTGTTAACGTCAAACTGTATTGCTCTAATAAGTCAATCATTTCAAATTTGAATGCTCTAACTCAAAATTTACATACTGAACATATACATTAGGAACCCCTCTAACTAACCCACGCAGAACTCGCATGGACACAGGGAGAAGATACAAAGGAAGGGCCCACCCAGATGGCGGCGTTGAAACCGGGACCTTCCTGCTATGAGGCAGTGAGTGGGGTTAAGTTCACTCCAAACTGCCCATTGGTGTGAATGTGAACTGTTGTCTGTGTCTCCCTGTGATGGACTGGTGATCAGCTGGGATAGGCTCCAGCACCTCTCAGCCTGAGTGGGATCAGCAGAGGATAAAGGCTAGATGGATGGATGCTGTCAGAAATGTACAAATTTCCATGATTTCCACAGCTGATTCTGTTGCTATTCCTTATTCATAATTTATCGTTATGATGAATAATTATTGATGAATTTGTTATGGTTATATTGTAAGTGCTGAGTAAACCATTCTTAGCTGGAACTGACCTGATTTGATGTGTAAGAGCCTTGTGTAGATACATTAGTGTTACTGTCAAACACATCACAAGTGGTAAAGAGATCTAATTGCTAATGGCTTAGCAGCTACAGGAAGCCCACAACTCTCCAAAGGCGAGGCGCGTCCAGAGGAGAAGGCCTTTTACATAACCGCAAAAAAGCTTATTAGAAGTTGTAGAGGTTCAGAGGAACATTGTCTGCTGTGTTGTCTTGTAAGCTGAAGACTTCGTTCAAGGCTCACAGCAAGAGTGCAATTTGTCAAAAATTTCTCAAGGGCTTTTTTGAACAGACCAACATACTAGTTCTCTTTTAAAAACATAAATTATTTCCATTCTCACACAATACCGGAATTATTTCAGGAAAAAAATTACCAGGGTCAAAATTATTAGCCCCCCTGAAAAGCTGCCATAACACAAACCAGTAATGTGCTTTAACTTTGCTGAGCTCAAAGCTTGTCAAATCAAAGTGTATTATGATAGGGAGCTGGTGTGACCTCTGTGTAGTGTCTTCTCTGGTCTGCATTCACAACAAAAAGGCAATGGTTAGAATGCTCTCTTTTTAATGTCGTGGGCAATCAGCACAAAATCTCGCAGGAATCCTCCATTATTCTGAGGATTACATTTCCACTTGCAGTGTGATCGTATAGTGGTAAATTTATACAACCAAAATAGAAAAACTTCAACACCATTAACATTGCATGTTAAATTTCCCAAATGAAAGGAATATAGAAATATATTTTAAAGCTGTACATGGAACAATGTAAATTCTCTAAACAGTGTGGCACAGTCACATACCTGCATTCACAACAAAAAGGCAATGGTTAGAATGCTCTCTTTTTAATGTCGTGGGCAATCAGCACAAAATCTAAACGGGAAAGCAACAACAGAGTTAGCTAACTATGCTCCCATTTTGTTTCCTCTCCTCACAATAAAGAAATCTCACATAAACGTGCACTCAGTTCAACATAAAGACTGGAGAAATGACCCGCAACAAATGATGTATAAACAACAAAAATAATCGGGTCAGACTGTATTACTTTAACAGCCTGCGATATGATTTTTCCTCCCCACGACATTTGCGCATTCCTTACCTCGCAGGAATCCTCCATTATTCTGAGGATTACCCAGAATCCCTTGCCCTTTGTGAATATTGCAGGGTGACTTTTTCGACAGTAGGTGGCGCCAATGTCCCATTTAGCGGGATTTAACTTCGACTCTATTTAACTATGTTACACACACCCCCCTTAAATCCTGCTAAATTGGGGCATGACAACAGAAAAACAGAAACTTCCAATGCATAAAACATAACAGTGTGACCGTGGGAGCACAATATAGTTCAAGTCAGTTAAAAAAAACTTTCCATATGGAATAAGGCAAGCAAGAGAGCGGCCAATTCCCCTGCCAATCCAGATATGAAAGATGCCGTATACACCTCCCATGATGTGAACATTGCTCCACGCAGGTATTACCCAAAACGTTCTGAGTAACAGCACATTTGCAAAACGGCTAGTAATCTATCCTGAAAACATATTTCGCACAAATGAAAACAAGGAGTCAACTGTCGACACTGAATCATCAACCTGTTGTTCATTGATCTCACAAATGAGACGTGTTGGAGGTTTCACAGGTCTACCTGATCTAGTACAAAGAGGTGGTGGCTGTGTACGCACTACACGGTCCTCTGTACTCAGTCGTGTGTCAGTCACAAGATCAGGGGAAAGGACATGTGCAGCATCTCCCGCCAGAAGCTGCGAGGAGGCACTCCAGGACACAACAGATTCAATAGAGGGGGCAGGGGAGGGCAACCGGGAAACCAACGGGTCACACACAGCAGGCGGGGTCACAGTCGATTCTGCCTCAGAGGTTGGGACGCTGAAAGCCGCACCAAGAGAACAACCAGGTTGACCAACCGCAGAGTCCCTGTCACTTGCTTGGTCCATCTGCATGAGCCAGCGAACCGTCTTCGTCTCACCATCCTGCACATCACCTGGAAGTTCTGGTTCACCTTGTCCACTATCCGCAACAGAGGGGCAGGTTGACACTGGTATGCACTCGTTTCCTGCAGGAATGAAACTCACAGGAAGTAGTAGGTTTCGGTGAACAACTTTTTCCCTGAGAGTCACAGGGTCTCTGATGTGGTACACATTGATGTCAGGTTTCACAGACACCACCTCAAAAACTGTGGATTCCCATTTGTCAGCGATCTTCCTCTTTCCTCTCTCACCACGATTAGCAAGCAAGACTCTGTCACCGACTGAGAGGGGCGCACCCTTAGCCTTGCGGTCATAATTCTTCGCCTGGCGAGCCTGGGCAATACGGCTGTTCTGCCTGGCAATGCGGGCAGCCTCAGACAGGTCACGCTTCAAATGGGCGACAAATTCACCGTGGTCAACAACGGCACCATCAGGGAGAACATGCTGGAAAACAACATCAACAGGCAGACGAGGAATTCTCCCAAATACGAGAAAAAAAGGTGCGAAACCTGTTGTTTCATGTTCAGTGCAATTGTAGCAGAACGTCAACATCTGAAGCATTTGCGGCCACCTGGCTTTGGATTGAGGGGGCAAAGCCCGTATCATGTTTCCCAAGGTCCTGTTGTATCGCTCGACAATACCATTCCCCATTGGGTGGTAAGGAGTGGTGTGTGATTTCTGGATGCCAGCCATGTCCAGGAGCTCCTTAATGAGTTGACTCTCAAAGTTGGCTCCTTGATCAGAGTGTATACGTCTGGGAAAGCCGTACACACAGAAAAAGTCATTCCACAGGCGGCGAGCAACCTGCTTGGAAGACTGATTCTTACAAGGGAATGCATGCGCTAATTTGGAAAAATGGTCTGTGACAACCAAAACATCAACGCACTTTTTGTCAGTCTGTTCAGCAGTCCAGAAGTCGATGCAGACTAGCTCCATCGGTTCAGTGGTACAAATGCTGTCCAGTGTGGCACGGTCATTCGGCTCTGGGGTTTTCCCAACCACACAACGAAAACAGCCTTTCACATGATTGATGATGTCACGCTCCATCCCTGTCCAAAAGAATCTCTGCCTTGCAAGAGACAGGGTGCGGACTTGGCCCTGATGACCCGCCGTATCATGGATGCCTCGGAGAACTTCAGTCTTCAGAGTGTCTGGGACAACAAACTGGTAAATCGTCACGTTCATGTTCCTGTCTTTCTTCACCTTATACAACATACCATCTTTAATCAAGAGTCTGGACCAATGTCTGAGTAATTTCATTACACCACGGGACTCGCTAGCACGTTCATGCCTGGTGGGCCTCTTGTGACGCCGGACATAAAAGGAAACTCTGCCCAAAACCTCATCTTGTTCCTGCAGGTTAGCGAGTTCACTTCTCGGCGTACAGGCAGGACGGGCAATAGTTGGGACCTGAGGGATATCTGATCCCACACCTCTCACATGGCTGATACCACCAGTGTCATGCGCCGCCAACGCAGCAGAAACATCCTGTGACGAGAGAGAACCTTGAGGGTTAGCTAGGATAGTTGTAGCTCCTTCCTCAGACTGATCCACAACCAACTGGCAGTTTGCAGCACACCGAAACATATCCTGCACAGTCCCATCCACCAGACCGTGCATTTGGTTCAATAGGGCAGCATAAGGTTCAGTGACTAGCCTGTGGCCTATGCACGACTGGACAAATGGCTCTCTACTCAATGCATCTGCTACAACATTTTTGGTGCCAGGGACATACTTCAGTTCAAAACTGTATGCTGCAAGCTTTGAAACCCATCGTTGCTCACATGCATCTAACCTAGGCTTGGTTAAGATGTATGTCAGCGGGTTATTGTCCGTCCACACTGTGAAGTGGCTCCCTTTCAGCCTATGGCTAAACTTGTCACAGACTGCCCATTTCAGAGCAAGAAACTCCAAACGATGCGCTGGATAGTTTAGCTGAGAGTGTGACAGGGTCTTACTGGCGAATGCCACTGGTCTGGCGATGCTACCATCGGGGGGCAACTGTGAGAGGACGGCTCCAAGGCCGTCAAAGGAAGCATCAACTGCAAGGAGAAAGGGCGCAGTAAAATCTGGATGGGCTAATGTGACATTATGCACAAGTTCATGTTTTAGGGCCTTGAATGCTTCCCTGCACTCATCAGTCCAGTCAGCCGGAGACAGCTTCACGTGGCCCCTTTTAAATTTAGGCTTACAGCCTCTACCTCTCTTGCGTAGCGCAGCTGGTTCAGCCACAAGATCAAACAGTGGCTTAGCTTTTGCAGAGCACCGCTCGATAAAATGATGGTAGTAGAGAACCATCCCCAGGAAGGATCTGATTTTCCTTGCACATGGTGTCACCCCGTCAGACTCCATCAGGTCTGCCTCCCCACATTGTCTATAGCCTGCACTTTACTTGGGTCTGTTTTCACACCCTCACCACATATGATGTGTCCCAGGAACTTCACAGACCGCTGAAGAAAGTGGCATTTCTTTGGTGCGAGCTTCAGGTTGTTGGCAGAAAGTCGTGAGAAAACCATCTGCAGACGTTCAAGAGCCACCTGTTCGGATGGGGCATAGACCATAAGGTCATCCAGATAACACAACAAACTTGTGAAGTTCTCATCACCAAAAATGGACATCATCATTCGCATAAAAGTAGCAGGACTATTTGTCAGGCCTTGAGGCATCCTGTTATATTCATGAAGGCCAAATGGGGAGGAGAATGCCGTGTATTTTTTTGTCGTCCTCGTGGAGTCTGACATTGTAAAACCCCGATGTGAGATCCATTGTAGAAAAAAAAACATTCCCACCAAGTGCTGCGAGGGCGTCTGACTGATGAGGCAATGGATGTGCATCTTTAACTGTTCTTGCATTTAACCATCTAAAGTCATTGCATATGCGCAGGTCACCATTTGGCTTAACAACTAAGACAAGGGGGGATGAGAATTCACTCTGGGACTTACGGATTATCCCTGACTCCTCCATCTCATCTAGGGCAGTGCGAAGCTTCTCGTTATGGCATGGTGGGACCCGTCTGTATGGCAGTCTGAAGGGCTTGTCGTCCACCAGGCGGATTCTGTGGACAAAGTCAGCAGCCTCACCGCAGTCCATTTTGTGCCTTGAAAAGATAGACTCATACTGCTCAATGAGTCGCAGCAGCCTATCTCTCCATTCTGGGGAAACTTCACAGGACGAGAGGTCCAGGTCCTGCAGGCCCAAATCACACAAGCGCTGTGACATCTCCGCTTCTGATCTCAGTGCGGGCGACGAGTTCTGTGTGTATTGTGTACTGGATCGAATTTGAACAGGTTCAGGTAAGTCCTGCACAGAAAGACAGGGGGCACATCAGCAACCTTAGCATTTCTCCTGAGAGTGAGGGGCTTGTCGGAGGGATTCACCACTTTAACAGGGACCCAACCATCCCCAAACAAGGAAGTGACAACTCGCCCCACTAGGATCTGTGCAGGTTTGGATCGAGACTGAGTGGGTTCAATAATGACAGCACTTCCCACCGCTGAGGCATCAGGAGCAGGCAGCTTAGCCCACTCTAAATGTTCAGACAAGGGCTGCAAGGTGATGCGTCTCTTAAGCTTTGCAGTGCCGAAACTTGGAGGCATTGCTCTGCCACCACAGTCATCAGAATAGGACAGCAAAGTTGCCAAATGAGGAAAAGCATCATCCTGGGTACCAACAGTCATTTTTAACTGTGAAATAAGCCACTTTATCGCATTGCTGCCCAGAATCATGTCATCAGCCTGGCCCGGAACCACCAGAACAGGAATCACCACCTTAAAGCCATATATTGACACTGTAAGATCATACATAGCAGAAGGCGTAACGAGGTGACCCCCACAACCAACAATGACAACGTCTTCAGCTGAACGTCTCTCAATATCAGGTATCGATTGTGAAAGGTTCTCATCAACTGTCTCACTTATGGTGCACGCCATAGATCCACTGTCCACTAATGCTTTAAGAACTTGTCCACCACTAGTAGTCACTGCAGAGTAGAGTAAACTATCAGTGTTTGAGAGCCTATGCAAGCCCTGTGCAATCAGTGTTTTATTTGGCGGGACAATGCCACTGTAAGTGGAATACAAAGTGTCATAATCATTAATATCAGTCACATCCAAGATGGGAGGCTTACTTGCTGGGTCTGCGCTGTCCTCC